CTCATTACGATGAAGAAATCATGACAAATCATATACGATGAAGTTTCGACAAAACATGTACGATGAAATCATGACAAAACATTTACGCTCATTACGATGAAGAAATCATGACAAAACATATACGCTCATGTTTGACAAAACATTTACGCTCATTACGATGAAAAAGACATGACAAAACATGTACGAAGAAGTCTTGACAAAACATAAACGAAGAAATCATGACAAATCATTTGCGATGAAATCATGACAAAACATTTACGATGAAGTCTTGACAAAACATTTACGAAGAAATCATGACAAAACATATACGTTCATGTTTGACAAAGAATATACGATGAAACCTTGACAAAACATATACGATGAAATCATGACAAAACATTTACGTTTAAGTTCAACAAAGCATATACGATGAAGTCATAACGTAAACATTATTTTTGCTGAATTCAGCAACAAAATGAACGAGGTCAGGATGTATGCAAATACCTTTGAATTCATTCATAAATGCCTTAGTAAACTCATAAAATGTTTGTTTTGAGGTCGAGCCACTTTTGGCTTGACCGTATTCTTTCAACCAAAACTCAAGAATTTTCCTGCGTGAATTTTGTATAAAAAGCAACCGTCTGAATTCAGGCGGTTGTTATATTCTTCACAAAACATTGACGTTCATTACGATGAAATCATGACAAAACATGTACGATGAAATCATGACAAAACATGTACGATGAAGTTTTGACAAAACATATACGATGAAATCATGACAAAACATATACGATGAAATCATGACAAAACATATACGTTCATGTTTGACAAAACATTTACACTCATTACGATGAAGAAATCATGACAAATTCAAGACCCTTTGGGTCTCGCCGCTTAGCGGCTGAGGGTGAAAAATTAGGTGAGAAAACAGGTGAGATCTCACCTCTTCACCTAAACATTATTTTTGGGTCATTTACACTCATTTACGATGAAATCATGACGATGAAGTCATGACAAAACATATACGAAGAAGTCTTGACAAAACATATACGATGAAGAAATCATGACAAAACATTTACGCTCATGTTTGACAAAACATTTACACTCATTACGATGAAGAAATCATGACAAAACATTTACGATGAAATCATGACAAAACATGTACGAAGAAGTCATGACAAAACATTTACGATGAAATCATGACAAAACATTTACGCTCATGTTTGACAAAACATTTACGATGAAATCATGACGATGAAATCATGACAAAACATGTACGAAGAAGTCTTGACAAATCATTTACGATGAAGTTTTGACAAATCATTGACGATGAAATCATGACAAAACATTGACGATGAAATCATGACAAAACATTTACGTTCATGTTTGACAAAACATTTACGATGAAGTTTCGACAAAACATGTACGATGAAGAAATCATGACAAAACATTTACGATGAAGTTTTGACAAAACATATACGATGAAATCATGACAAAACATATACGATGAAATCATGACAAAACATATACGTTCATGTTTGACAAAACATTTACACTCATTACGATGAAATCTTGACGAAGAAGTTTTGACAAAACATTTACGATGAAGAAATCACGACAAAACATGTACGAAGAAGTTTTGACAAAACATTTACGATGAAGAAGTCATGACAAATCATTTACGATGAAATCATGACAAAACATATACGATGAAGTTTTGACGATGAAGTCATGACAAATCATTGACGATAAAGTTTTGACGAAGAAGTTTTGACAAAACATATACGAAGAAGTCATGACAAAACATTTACGAAGAAGTCTTGACAAAACATTTACGATGAAGAAGTCATGACAAAACATTTACGAAGAAGTCATGACAAATCATTTACGATGAAATCCTCCATGTTAGAAAACATGTACGCTCATTACGATGAAGAAGTTTCGACAAAGAATATACGTTCATGTTTGACAAAACATTTACGTTCATGTTTGACAAAACATTTACACTCATTACGATGAAGAAGTTTCGACAAAACATTTACGAAGAAGTCATGACAAAACATATACGAAGAAATCATGACAAAACATATACGATGAAGAAATCATGACAAAACATTTACGCTCATGTTTGACAAAACATTTACGAAGAAGTTTTGACAAAACATTTACGAAGAAGTCATGACAAAACATTTACGAAGAAGTCATGACAAAACATTTACGATGAAGAAGTCATGACAAAACATATACGTAAACATTTATTTCCTGTGTTGTTGTCAAACATGAACGTAAACATTATTTTGGTTCATTTACACTCATTACGATGAAGAAGTTTCGACAAAACATTTACACTCATGTTTGACAAAACATTTACGAAGAAGTCATGACAAAACATTTACGAAGAAGTCATGACAAAACATTTACGAAGAAGTCATGACAAAACATATACGAAGAAGTCATGACAAAACATTTACGCTCATGTTGACAAAACATTTACACTCATGTTGACAAAGCATATACGATGAAGAAATCATGACAAATCATTTACGAAGAAGTCTTGACGATGAAGTCTTGACAAATCATTTACGATGAAGTTTTGACAAATTCATGAGGGTGAAAAATTAGGTGAGAAAACAGGTGAGATCTCACCTCTTCACCTAAACATTATTTTTGGGTCATTTACACTCATTACGATGAAATCATGACAAAACATATACGTTCATGTTTGACAAAACATATACGATGAAGTCTATGAACATAATAATATTTCAAACCAGGAGCCAAATTCTGCGATTTTCATATGGAATCTCTTTTCTCGGTTTTCCGAGGTAAGCAATTATATGAAATCATTTACACTCATTACGATGAAGTCATGACAAAACATATACGCTCATGTTTGACAAAACATTTACGAAGAAGTTTTGACAAATCATTTACGATGAAGAAGTCATGACAAAACATGTACGAAGAAATCATGACAAAACATGTACGTTTAGTTTCGATGAAGAAGTCTTGACAAAACATTTACACTCATTACGATGAAGAAGTCATGAACAAATCATTTACGATGAAGAAGTCTTGACAAAACATTTACACTCATGTTTGACAAAGCATATACGTTCACTACGATGAAGAAATCATGACAAAACATGTACGATGAAGAAATCATGACAAAACATATACGATGAAGAAGTCATGACAAATCATTTACGATGAAGAAGTCATGACAAAACATTTACACTCATGTTTGACAAATTCATTGACGATGAAATCATGACAAAACATATACGATTTTAGTACTTGTCGTTAGTGTTGGAGTTTGTGTTTGTTGTTAGTGAGAGAATAAATTAAATCATGAACTTTGCCATGGTCTCTGTCCCTAGTAGTTTTCATTAAGTTCTGGAAATAATGAAAGTCATAAACTTTGCCATGGTCTCTGTCCCTAGTAGTTTTCATTAAGTTCTGGAAATAATGAAAGTCATACTTTCTATCAGATGAAGCATGCAGATGAACATAACGAAAGTTAGTGAGTTTGCCACGAGTTATGAATAAAATATTGGCATATTAGATGAGATAGTTGATGAAACAGATGAAGATAAATTAAATCATGAACTTTGCCACACTCTGTCCCTAGTTCCTCAAAATCCTTGACAACGTTGCTTAGAAATTTTGGTTCAAAACCTCATCTGATTTTAATCTGTTATGCTACCTGTTAAGTTTCGCGAGATTATAAATGTCATGGAGTTATATAAAAAGGAGGGACAGCTAGGGACACTGGAAGTACTTGTAAGGCTATTTGTTAAGATTGCATGAAATACTAAAAGTCATGAAATCCATTATCGCTGTGCTATCTTCACCTTAGAGTAAAATGACAAATAAAGTCACTGAAGCAATGAAACAAAAGTTTTTGGTAGAATACATTAAATCAGGAACTATTCCAGAAGGTTTTTACGTTCATACTATGAAGGATGGTAGAGTTCAGTTTAGAAAGATAAAGCAACCATTAGATAAAGAAGGTATATTAAGGAAGATTAAACTTCATGAGGACAACATTGCTGAACTTAGGAAGAAGTTAGAAGAGTTGGAGAAAGGAAGAGAGTTATAAAGCAATGAATTCAACAGGGTGAAAAAAGAGGTGAAAAAACAGGTGAGATCTCACCGCTTCACCTAAATTTATTTTTGTGCTATGTTTTCATACGTGTGGGAGTGGTGATATCATTTATTTTTATTTTATTTTTTTATAAATGACAGAACAAAAATATAACATTTCTACTCAACAGGAATGAGACCCTTACTGACTATGTATTCGTTTAATGCTTGATGAAAACAATGGTACATATTATCGTATGGGTATACACAACGTCTGTTTCCATCGTCGTCGTATATGTAGAGCTCAAATCCAGTCCAACCTTCTTTTGTACAATATGTAGCTTTATTTAAGTATGTATTTATGTAGATAAGGCAATTTTCTTCATCGCTCCAGAAATAATTTTTGTTCTTTGTTGAAATAGTTTTTGTTCCTCTGCGACCATAAGGAATGTATGCAATGAACTTTGCGTCATAAGGGATTGTAATATATTCAGGGTTTCTTTCATCGTCAATGGGTCTGTCTTTGTTAAAATGCATGTTTCTCAGTTTTACTTGAGTTTTGAATAGTTCACGGAAACGTTCTGGGAAAGAGTCATAGTAAATGTAGTCGGACATGTCTTTGTAATGAAATAAAAAATTTAAAAAAAATAAAAATAAGGTTATTTTTATTTAGTGAGGACGGTAGGGAATTTGTTAGTGAAGTCGTTTGTGAAAACGTTAGTGAAGTGAAGTGGTTGGCGGCTTTGTAAATATTTAATGTTAAGTTAGTGTTGTCGTTTGTGTTGTAAAATATACGTTACCGGTTTCGTAAAGTGTCAAATTCACAAGTATTGGTTATGGTGGAATGCAGTGCCTCAGTACACTTGATAACCATACTAACTAATATTCAATATTGTGTTTGTCGTTATTTTCAATATATTAATAGAGAACCCGAGATGATAAGTATGGACTGCGCCCCACAAATAGCCGAGGCAATTGAGCGAGGTATTCCAAACTGTAATATTCTTTGGTGTGGCGTGCATGTCCTTCGCGCCATATTAAGAAAAGCGGATAAGTTTAAATCACGAGACAATTTTGAAGAATTTTATAATCTAATGAAATTATTAGTATTCGATACTAAAGAAGAATCTCCCGAGGAAGAACAGAACCAAGAAGAAGAAAATCCTAGAGAGGAACCGGCTCGATCTCACTTACTTCAAGCAGAAGAAATTGAAGAAGAGGAACAATATGAAGAAGAATTCATCGAAAATGAATTTCAACCTTCTCAAATCTTTTTACCACGAGAATCTTCTGATGATCCAAACGATTCTGAATTTATTCCAGAAGAAGAAACGTTTGAAACAAGTGAAGAAGTTCCAGAGCACCTCACTCAAGAAGAAGCTGCAGACCTAGATGAAGTTTATGATCGAATTCTTGAAATTCTTTCCACAGAACCGAAAGCCCAAAAGTACTTCGATAGGCAATGGAGGCATCATTTAGATCGTTGGAATAAGCGCTATCGCAACGGAGGTGACGCGACTAATAACGTCAGTGAGTCACATTTCAAAGTTTTCAAGCATTCTTATTTCCCAGAGAGAAGGAATATTCGATTAGACGATTTTGTTGTTGAATTATACACAACGGTTGTTCCAGCATTATTGCTTAAATTTAAAGTTCAATTAATCAATAGTGATAAAGTTGTTCGTATATTACGAAAAGCTAATGACCATGAACAAATATTGGAAAACAAAAAAGTCGAATGTTTGAAAATGCTTGAAGCAATATATTCAAGTTTGCAACAAGGATCAATAGATTCAAATCTTGTTTATTGTACTTTAAAGGTACTTTTAAAAAAGAAACAATTAATATAAAAGATTCAAATAATTTTTTATTATTATTTTATTAATTTTTTAAAATAAGGTTAATAAAAAAGTGACACTGGATAGTTTGTCCCACACTCTTCTAGATGCATCTCAATGAAAATCCACGCTAAAACAGTCTAGCGTTATCTGCAAGTCCTACGAACAAGATCTCAGCGGATATAATATCAAATACATGTATGGATGCATATATATGAAATACTAATAAAATTGATGTTTATTAAAAAATATTATAATTTATTTCTTCTAAAGTTTTTATTTTATAGATTAATACATAATATCAATCTATATTGTATATCATTTTATCATTCAAAAGGAATAATAATATCAAATTAAAATTAGATCATTGTTTTTCTGAGCAAGAATGTCAAACATTGAAAATAATGTTTATTTATTTCAATTATAAACTAATTATACGATAAATATTCCCATTTATGCATTCTATTTTCTGCATTTAAGAAGATCATAATAAATTTAACTAGGATTCAAAATTGTGTATAATATAGTTATATCAACCTTCTTCCATGGCGATACCTACAACTCTCTTTTATATAATCCAAACTATTATATGTAATCTTGAGAAAGTGTATTAACTTTTGAGATATTGTGATGAAATATTTATATATTTCAATCATAATTAGGTATGACATGATATTTGTCATATAAATATCTATGAAAATTTACTTTAATATGTTTCTAGATGCATCTCAATGAAAATCCACGCTAAAACAGTCTAGCGTTATCTGCAAGTCCTACGAACAGGATCTCGGCGGATATAATATCACATGCATGTGTATATATATATTTAAGCAAATTTAACATAACTCACTATGTATCAATTATAAAAATATATTATCAATTATAAAAATACTATATTACCTAATTTATCATATCGTTTATTAACATTGACATTATATATCAATATTTTGATTTAATATCATTTTAATCAAAAAAATAAATTTAAATACATTGTCTGCTAAGACTTTTGATTGAAGAAATAATAAATACATTATTATGTAAAAATTGATATTATAATAAAATAAGAAGTTTGATGAAAAATTTAATCATAATTTTTAATAAACATCAATTTTATTAGTATTTCATATATATGCATCCATACATGTATTTGATATTATATCCGCCGAGATCCTGTTCGTAGGACTTGCAGATAACGCTAGACTGTTTTAGCGTGGATTTTCATTGAGATGCATCTAGAAACATATTAAAGTAAATTTTCATAGATATTTATATGACAAATATCATGTCATACCTAATTATGATTGAAATATATAAATATTTCATCACAATATCTCAAAAGTTAATACATTATAATAAGATTCTTTGTAATAGTCTGCAATTTACATGAAAAAGTGTGTGAATCACAAATACTCAGAACTTGTATAGATTTATTACACTAAACTATTAATGTTAGTCAAATATGTTGTGATCTTCTTAAATGCAGAAAATAGAATGCATAAATGGGAATATTTATCGTATAATTAGTTTATAATTGAAATAAATAAACATTATTTTCAATGTTTGACATTCTTGCTCAGAAAAACAATGATCTAATTTTAATTTGATATTATTATTCCTTTTGAATGATAAAATGATATACAATATAGATTGATATTATGTATTAATCTATAAAATAAAAACTTTAGAAGAAATAAATTATAATATTTTTTAATAAACATCAATTTTATTAGTATTTCATATATATGCATCCATACATGTATTTGATATTATATCCGCTGAGATCTTGTTCGTAGGACTTGCAGATAACGCTAGACTGTTTTAGCGTGGATTTTCATTGAGATGCAACTTGGAAAAAATTGAAAATCTGGATTTGAACCTTCGACCTCTACGGTCAAAAACGGTTCCACGCTAAAACAAAATCCACGTTAAAAAACCCCCATACTGTATTTAGAATTTCACAATTTTTCATGGGGACCTGTTGTAAACAGAAATTCATCAAAAGTGACACCTCAGAAAAGCTAAAATATTGAATTTTTGGAACTTTTGATAGAGCACGTTTTTAAATATTAATTAAAGTAAATGTATATTTTGTAAAGATTCTTTTTAATAAAAAAATAAAATTTTGAAGAAGAACACAAAATCTTCTGAAAAATAATATCACATAAACTCATATTATTTTCTAATATATAACTATTTTATATAAAAATCAAATTCAATGATCTTAAAAGCGAAGGATAAACCTCAAAATTTACGAATATAATGAGTGGGAATATAATGCTTATCTATCATAAAACCATATGAAATATCAATTTTTGCTTTACGCCTAATTTTTGACGACAATTAGCAAAAAATGTTAAATGTTAACACTCAGTCCATTTGAATATGAAAAATAAAATTGACTTTGATTAAATGTTTTTATTTATCATGCAATTCTTCTTGCGACCAAAGATTTGAATAAAAGTTCAAAAAATAAGATAGCTTAAAAAATAATATACGGTAGTGTTTACTAATAGATGAATAGTATATAAATTCTATTAAAATGGATTTGATCCAAAAAAATATAAAACCAAAATAATTGTTATAATTTAAATGAAGAAGTAATTTAAAACGATTTTATTTATGATCAAATTTTATATATTTTTTGGATCAAATCCATTTTAATAGAATTTATATACTATTCATCTATTAGTAAACACTACCGTATATTATTTTTTAAGCTATCTTATTTTTTGAACTTTTATTCAAATCTTTGGTCGCAAGAAGAATTGCATGATAAATAAAAACATTTAATCAAAGTCAATTTTATTTTTCATATTCAAATGGACTGAGTGTTAACATTTAACATTTTTTGCTAATTGTCGTCAAAAATTAGGCGTAAAGCAAAAATTGATATTTCATATGGTTTTATGATAGATAAGCATTATATTCCCACTCATTATATTCGTAAATTTTGAGGTTTATCCTTCGCTTTTAAGATCATTGAATTTGATTTTTATATAAAATAGTTATATATTAGAAAATAATATGAGTTTATGTGATATTATTTTTCAGAAGATTTCATTCTATATGCCTATGAAAAGTACTCTCAAAACTAACTTTTTCCTAATTATAATTAAATCTAGAATATTGTATTATGCTTAGTATTATTTCATTTTTCTCATTCAATTTAGAATTTACAAATGTCAAAAAATTGAGAGCTGTCACTTTTGATGAATTTCTGTTTATTACAGACCCAAAATAACATGACATACCTCATTACAACTTTATCATTATTTGGAAAATTTTGGTAATGAAATGAAGATTACTTGAAATAAAGTATGCATTGAGAGGAAAATTATCGGACGGGTTCATTTTTGAGTCATGAGACTTAATAGAGAGAATACACTCATTGAGAACAATCTCCAGCCATATGCCGGCTGCACACCAGAGGAATGCCAAGCCAAATTTGTTAAAGCATTCACACCATACAAAGAGTTCATTGAACAATTTCAAGCTGCTTTACTCCTTCACAACATCAAATTCTTCGTAGCCATTTTGACTACAGTTATTGGCTTAATTGTCCTCTTCTCTCTCCTTCTTGCTTCAAGCATTCCAAATCTCGTTGTCGCAATTATTGCCATTCCAATTCTCGAACTTTTCTACTGCTTCGATGCTCACATCCATGTTAAGAAGCTCTATCTTGCTGAGCTTCCAAAGCTTGCTGATAACGCTCCAGACCGCATCCGTACACTTGAAGAAATTTTCGCTGTTGCATGGAAGCCAGTTCTTCTCATTTGGCGTTTCGGATTCTATGTTTACGCTACATTTGCTTGCCCGAACCCAGTTGATACAATAGCTTTCATCATCTTGGCAATCATTCTCGGTCTCCTTAATAAGGTTGTTTGCTTCTTCGGCATTTTCTCATTCTGCCTTGTTCTTGCTCTTGTTACACCAGCCATCCTTATCAAGACACCACTTGGTGAGAAATTAAACCAACTTCTTCAGAAGAAGCAGAAGCAAGAATAAGCTTAAAGTATAAACAGATGATATTATTTTATTCTTACGCTTTTTTGAATTTAAATTTGGTTTACAAAAATTAATCCCTAATTTGATTTACTAAACAACTTGAATGGCTTTAAAAATGTAAGAGGTAAAATGTATGAAGTTGAAATGTATATTTCAGAAGGTTTGAATTTTTTAATTTCATATCTTTGTGAATTCAGGTGGCTTTCATAAGGTTATGTGGTTGAGAAACTTAAGATTTATGTTTAAAAGGATATAAAGAAGGTTTATCAGAAAATAAATTAGAAAAAGTAATATTTGGAATATGAATAGAATCTTTTTTATTTCTAATTGGAGGATTACATAAAAGAGTAGAATGTAAATTAGAAAGATTTAATTTTGTCATTTCCTTTGAATTCTCAATATTATTCCCGAATATATTATCTTCAAAATGGCAATCATTTACAGTACCTGGAGATGAATCTGGTGCAGTAGTAAATAAATAAGTAGCATTGTTTCCTTTGAAGAAACAAAGATTTAATGTAAATGTACCATAATTAAGGAAAATTCCAGCACCATTTTCTAAAACTTTGTTATCAATAACATTACAAAAATAGAAATTGTGTGTATGATAGTGATAATAAAAACAACATTGTGTATTTGATGAAATATTATCGAAATTACTAAAATTTGTTGTTGAAAGAGAAGATGGAACACTACTAAATGCTGCATTAAATACTAGTTTTGAGTCAGAGATATTTATTGATGAAAATAGATGAGATCCATATAAATGATATAAAACAGCTGACTCTCCTGTAATTTGAGTGAATGATGATTCAATAACAAAATTCTTGTGGTTATCATCATTTGTCACTTCAATGCATGAATGAGATCCGTAATTAACTGATTTAGATTCATAACTACAGACTTTGTATTGAACAAATGATCCTTTTGATGAAAGATATATGGATCCTCCTTCACTTTTTTTAGAAGAACAGTTAAAAAAAGAAGAAGTTGAAACAAGAACTTTTGTATCATCAGTTGGTTTAGTGATTCTAATAACACCTTGTGGACTAAAATTTTTGAAAAGAACGTGATCAACAAAGACGTGGCTGAATTCAGTGACTGTTTGACTTTTATTAATAAATTTGTCATAAGTTGCAGGATCATAGAATCTCTTCCATATATCGCTTGAAGGAGCTGAGAAATGAAAGCGTGACGTTCTTCTTCTACTAAAGAGATTTTCTTCTTTTTCTTCTTCAAACAAGTATGATTATCAATAGTTTACAAATTGGTGAAGTTAGTCTCGAGATTCAAAATTACGATTTTTAATGTGAATTTTGACAGTAATCTCAATACATGGGTACTGTTGCAATATGATTGAAATTAACGAAGTTGATTTTAAATTGAATAATGTGGGAGAATAACTGACAATACAACTAATTATATTATACAAGATAGTTGCCAGTTGGAACAAGAAATTAGGCTGCACCAATCATTTCTTTCGTTTCTGGCATAACGCCCAGAAAGAAAGCGATCTATAACACAAGGAAAAATGATGATATTGTCACTTTTCGTTTAACAACCTTATTTTTTGTTTTTAATTATTCTGAAATTTATGTCAAATGATACTACTTCAAAAACAACTTAAATAAATTTTGACAAATGTCAATTTTTTTATCTATTGATTTTTCAAAAAAATGAGTGACGAAGAAGAAGAAGTTTATGTTGTATATGAAGAAGAAGAGGAAGTAGAAGACTCATCCAGTGATGAATTAGTTCAATTGGTTTCTGAGTCATCTAATACATTTATTACGAAAGAAATTGAATCCTTTTCTCATTACCTACCAAATTGGAGTGCATACTCATCTGATAATCGTATGATCATTAATATTCCATCATCATTCTTGCCCTTAGCTCAAAAAGTTGTTTACGGCTTTTCTGTCCATGATATTTTACTTAATTTAACAATTACAATGAATTCCAACGACTGGACGACACCTCCACAAATAACATTCGAGCACCCTATTTACAAATCTCAATTTATCGGCCGTCCTTTAATTGTTGACTTAATTCCAAAATTCTTCAACAAAGATTATAAACCAAAACAAAATTATCGCGCTGCAGGCTACGTACTAAATGCTGCCGGTCATGCCGACCCAGAACTTGTCAAGCTTCTTGCTAAAGAAGGAATTTCGGCAGAAAGAGCCAAAACAGCTTTAGTTCTCTGCAGAAACAAGATCAATGATGCAAGAAGCTTCCTGAGGACAGGTCAAAAAGCAGATGTTAGTACCAGAATGCCCTGCAAATTTGAAGAATGTAGATTACTTTACTTTATCGTTGAAATATGTGATTTATTCATCGGTTTACAAGATCATTGTTGCTTCTGTGGCAAGAAGCTCTCAGAAGCAACAGTCAAACCTTCAGTTTGCTCAAACAAATTATGCAATTTCTCATTTACTCAACTTGGTGTTGGCACAAGCCTTCTCCAAGAGATCAGGCGCGACCCGGACGTGGCAGATCTTATGATATCTTGCTTCGCTACCGCTCTGGGAACTGCCTGGCTGAAACCAAAACCAAATAATTTCACAGACGATGAAATGAGACAGATTATCAACGGATTACCAACTGTTTCTGATATGGTACGAGCCAATGACGACCACCAATTGGCAAATCTCGTTGGAGATAAAGCGATTTTACTATTAAATTGGATTATTCTCTCGAACAAGTCACAGTTATACGAATTGTCACCCGAATTACGACTCAAGCAGTTCCCAACTCGTCACCAATTCCTTACTCTCATGGCTTCTGAAGAGAGAGAAAACGAATTTAAAGCATTGAAAGCGAAATACGGTTCTTTCTTCCTTTGGCATGGATCTACAGGTGACAGATGGCACTCCATCATCAGAAATGGTCTAAAGAACGGAACAGGAACCGAAATGCAACAAAATGGAAAAGTTTTCGGATCTGGAATTTATTTGGCCTCCGAACTTTTGACTTCACTTAACTACGTAAAGAATGTCCAGAACGAATACGCAAGAAGCACGTTAGGAAATTCACTCCAAGCTGTTGGTCTTTGCGAAGTTGCAAAAGTTCCTGATTTGGAAGACCACGGAAGAGCTTACACATTGATGAACGAAAAGGCTATTGTTGTGAGGTTTTTGTTCGTCGGAGCAAATTTCTCATACGATGTTGTCCAGAAACCTTTGGAACGTGTTCCAAAGTTGAAAGATATCCTCAACTATCACGCTTCTCTTAATAAATGATTGAATTGTATTATAAAATTGTTTAAAATTAAATAAAATTGACAAAAAATTTAAACTCTATTGATCCAACCCACTCGCACTTGTTTTAACGTCTAATGACAATATAGTAATTAGCTTTACTATTGAAATGTAAAATTTTATTTCTTTATCATTGAAATGACGCATATTGGTGTGCTAAATGATATTTTTATGTTAAGTTTAGTTGAAATATCAAATAATTTTTATATTTAAACAATATTCAAAAATAAAATACCAAAGAATTTGGAAATACAGCGGATAATATTAATAAAGTATGATTATATATGGATATTATAATATGTTTTTGATAACCTCAAGTTCAGTTGGAATGAGCGAACCTGGATATATTATGAAGCTCGACGACTCAGTCATTCATAAGATCGCAGCGGGTGAAATTATCACTGAGCCAGTTAATGTCGTCAAGGAATTGCTCGAAAATTCCATTGATGCCGTTGCAGATCACATTCAAATTAACATAGAGAACGGAGGGTACGGTTTAATCCAAATTAAAGACGATGGAACAGGAATACGCAAATCAGATATGCCTCTCGCGTGTGCAAGACATACAACTTCCAAACTACATAAATATAATGATCTTAGAACCATCGGAACATTCGGTTTTAGAGGCGAAGCATTATTCTCAATGTCATGCTGTGCTCATGTAACTATCACTACAAAGACTTTCCAAGAAGAATACGGATATTCAGCTGAATATTCCGACGGAAAAATGTCCTCAGATCTCAAGAACATAGCGGCAACAGAAGGCACTACGGTCGAAGTACGCGATCTCTTCTACAATAATAGACTCAGACTCAACGCAAGACCAAAAGCAACAACAGATGCGAAAAAAATCTACGAAGTAGTAGCAAAATACGCAGTTACATACCCAGAATTAAGCTTTGTACTCTCATCTAATGGAAAGGAAATGCTCCAAACTTACGGTGGCTCAAAAACAGAAGACGTATTAAAATTATTATTCGATATTGAAGATACAAAGTCGATATTTACGCTTAGTTTCTCTCCGTATCCGAATGTTACAGCTACTATGTTCCTTAGCGCCCCTTCTTTCTCTTCTAAGAAGAAGATGAACGCCATATTTATAAATGGCAGGCTTGTTCAATGCCAATCCTTCAAGCATTCCATCGATACGGCATACTCTGAGACAGTAGGATCGGGTGTCAGCCCTTTCTACTTCATCATATTAGTCATGCCACAAGAAAATGTAGAGGTGAATGTTCACCCATCGAAAAAAACCGTCAAGTTTATCGGCGAAGTCGAAATTGGGGAAGAAATCCATAAAAAGATCAAAGAATCGCTAGAACAAAGAAGAGGATCGAGGCCTGTGATGCTAATGAAAGAAAGGACACATAAAACTTCACAAAAACCAACTGATTCTCCTCAAATTGACAAATTTATATCCCAAATCAGCCAGAAACCAGCTGAAGATGCTCCACCACTCTCACAAAGAGATAAAGCAAGGCAAATGTTGGGCCTTCCGCTCTTGGATGCTCCTTCCAATGAAAAATCAACAAATGAAGAACCAGAAAAGCACGAAGAAGAAGAGAGACCTATAGCTCCACCAAGTTATAAACCACCTGAAGAGAACAAACCACAAGAACCTCAAAATTTCCTCTCAGAATCTGATGATGAAAAATCTGAGGTCAAAAATGAGCCAAAAGTCGAAGAACCAGTCACACAAGATCTTCCTAAGCCTAATATCCCTGTCGAAAATACTCATTTCAGTGATGATTCCGATGAAAATCAATTCTTTTTGCCAAAAGTGCCAAAAAGTGTTAAAAAGAACACATTAAACACAGAAAAAGCACCTAAGAAGTCATCCACGTCAGACACTCGTTACAATCTCTTTGCCGAGCTGAAATACAAACCAAAAGTTGTATCTGCAGCCGAACAAGGCATGAAAACCCTTGAACAGCTTCTCACTCCACCAACAGTCATTGCCAAACCATTCCGAAACGTCGAACTCCAAAGTGTTCTAGAGATGAGACGCAATTTCACCGAAAACAGTTCAAAAACACTTACAGAAATCCTGAAAGGCCATTCTTTCCTTGGTTTCTGTGATATCAGTAACTTTTTGATCTCTTTTGGTGATGGACTTTATCTCTGCAACACATTTGGAGTTGTCAAAGACTTGTTTGTCAAATTGATTTTGGACAAATTCCAGAATTTTCCACAATTGAGATTAGACAAACCAATTGACATCGCGCAGACTGTTTCTATACTTGGAAATGATGGTGAAAAAGCTGTGCAAACACTGGAAAACAATTCTGCAATGCTCATGGACTATTTCTCTATTTCCATTGAAAATGGGAAACTTTATTCGATGCCAAGCATTGTTTCTAATTACAGACCGACTTATTCTGCAATGCCTCTCTTTCTTTCCAATATTGTAAACAATGTTGACTGGGAGAATGAGATACAATGTTTGTCCACTTTAATTGATGAGATTGCGTCTGTTTCTTCGCCAATTCCTGATGATGGAAATGACAAAGAAGTCGAAATGAAACTGATGAATCAAATTGGTTCTTTGGTTCTTCCTGTGATGAAAGAGGAGTCTTTTGTAGCTTCAATGGATGCAACTGAATCTGTTATGAAACTGTATACTGCTGCTTCTTTGTTTGATAAATTTAATCAATAAATAAAAGATATATATATATACTATAAATCTTAATTTGATGTTTATGTACAAGATTTATGTATGAATATAAATCTTTATATTCTTGCTTCTTTGTATGATAAATTAATAAAACTATACATCAATTTGATGTTCATATGCAAGCTTTTGTTATTATATATCTTTTGACTGTTGCGTCTTTGTTTGATAAATTTTAATTTAAAATCAATTTGATGTTTATGTATACCGCTGAGAATTTGTTATATACATTTAATTGATAATTTATGTCCAAATGAATGAAAAAATAAAATTTAATCAAGGCATTATTGCAATTACTGCCCATATAATGCGAATGATGGCCAAACACAATAGATTTAATGAAGAATTTGCAGAAAAGCTATCAAATATGATTGTAAAAAAGTATAGAAAACAAAAAGTCAAATGAAAATATAAATCCATTTATCATTGGTAAACATGAAGTTGTTAATCATCAAATTTCTGCTGGAGCTGTATAGAAGCAAAAAGAAATAAAGGATTTTCTCTCCTCACTGATGTATCAACTAAAGGCAATCTTGATGTTGTTTAATGTCTTGAATCATCTGGATCTGATAATGGATCAAAAAGTAGTAATGAAAAAACTCCGCTCATTGAAACATCATGAAAAAGTAATATCTTATCTTTGAAGGCGCGCAGTATAATTATCGGTAATGTTTATTTTTATGCTATATTTTATACAATTAGTGCTGAAAAAAAAACATTTTTATGTTCTCAATCTCAAATAAAATAAAAGTGACATCATAAATAAAATGGATTTTTCATATCAAAAGATTGAATTGGACGCCGTATTTAAGAGTCCACAGCAAGCATATGATCTAATACGAGACATTACTGCAAGCAATTTTTCTACAAATTCAAAAGAAATTTTTTCATTAATCAATGCCAAAAAAATAACGCCGGAAACAGCCTTATTTTTCTTAGATATATGCATCTATGTGCTATCCTATCAAAAATTCTATGTATCCAGATATCTATGGACAAATATTGACAAAATTCAAATTAAATTATCTTCCAGAAAATGAAAACATTGCAACAATTCTATGCTCAAAAGGATTTAAATTTTCTAACTTTGAGCCATCGATTGACTTGGAAAGTCTAATTAATTTGTATAAGAAAGAAAGTCCATTTGATTTGATTTGTAATGATAAAATTGATGAACTACAAAGTAAATACCCTAATTTGGATGTCAATATGACTGAAAACAAGCTTTCACTGATAGATTGTGCATGTAGACATGGATCAGAAAAATGTTTTAACTTCTTGCGAGATAAAAAGCCAAATACTCTCAAAAATCGCCAGTTTATACACTTCAAAGCGGAAATATGAACATCATTACAGTAATGAAAGCAGACGGACAGCGTTTTAAGTATCTGCTCCATGTTGCCATAAGATATCATCACATAGATCTTGCGATTTGGCTGACAAGAAACTTTCCAACAGAGAAGATTTCAATTGCGGAATGCATGAACTGGGGAAACTTTGATGTTGCTAACTACTTGATTAGTAAAGGTTTTGATATCAATGAAGTTGTAATGCTTATACTTCATAATTTCATTATATTATTTTTATATCTTATGAAATTCATTTTATATTTATGAGAGTATTCATTTTATTACATTATGACGTTAATTATTTCATTTATGTCATTCATTTAGCTCATGAAACAGAAATTCACATTATCATTCAAAAAATTCTTTGTTTTTATCATGACATTCTATTTACACTAATGGAATTCTCTATATTATCATTATATTCGCTTATAATTCTTGTTCTATTTAAATATATCAAATACATTTTTAAATTTATTACACTCCTCTTGCCATTGCTATCAGAATGAAATCTATAGAATTGGTTCAATGGTTTCTTAGTCGAGGTGCTGAAGTTAATAAGTTATTAGTTATATTTAATAATTATTGCATTCATTATTTATATATATTAATTATTTTATTATAGAATCTACTTTTAATTCACTACATTTGATGTTATTTCATAAAATTCAATTTTGTTTTATATTTCTCATATTTTCAAAAAATCATGTTTGTTATTATGGAATTCAAACTCGAATAATGTTATTCTATATTACAATTGATGGTGTTCATTGGGAATTCATGTCATTCGGTTTAATATCATGGAATTCTATATAATTAATAATGAAGTTCTTAATTTATTTATATATATCCATTAATGATTGCAATTGAAGTTGATTCTTTAGATATTGTAAAAATTCTTGCAGCTGCAGGAGCAGACCTTAACAAAACTGTAGTTCATTATCATTTAACTTTGTTCTTTTGTGTAATTATGAAATCTTTCTTAGTTAAATGACATTCATTTAAATTTTAGTATATTCTATTGCTAAATTCATGAAGTTCAATATTTAATAATGAACTTCTTTATCAATCAATAAATGCCCTCTATCTGTTGCAATTCAGTTAAATCATATTCGAATTCTTTGGTTTTTGTTTGATAATGGTGCTGAAGTGAAAGTTAAACTCATTCAATTTCATATTATGAAGTTTATTATTTATTCAAAGTATTCATTAATGGATTCATATTGTCTTCTTTCCTATCAAAGCATTCTTAATATAATTATATCATTCTTTGATTCATGGAATTCACTATTTCCTAATAGAATTCAACATTTTTTTATCAAACTCTCTTTGATATTGCAAACAAATATGGCAATGATGAAATGAAGAACTACATGAAACAAGTTGAAGAAAAGAATCGCTGCAGAATATGCTGATATATAATATAATCAAAAACTATTATAAAAAATATTATTGGAACTTTTTTTATTGAAATCATATATGACATATAACTTCAAAAAATATTGATATTCCTAAGATAATTTATATTTTATAAGCAGAATAATCTGTAACTTATTAAATCTGGATAAAATTATATATTTGTTGCCTTTCATTCTATTAGGTGTTATAGAAATTATGATTGGAGGGCATCCTGTTTCAAAAGAAATACCTGTATTTATATATTTTGGGTCTTCACCATATGCTGAAGTACTGTCTGTTCTTGAATTTTCAAATGTTAATGATCCCCAATCAAAACCAAATACATCATGAATTTGATTATTTTGAATATAACAATAATTCATGTATAGATCAGATCTCAAAGAATAAATTAGTGAATCGCCACCATTATTTCTTACGTAATTGCATGATGTGATTTTAAAATTTAAGTTTGAGTGATAATTAAAATAAATAGATCCTTGTTTGTTATCAATGACATTCACGCATGTAATATATGAATCGGAACTTGCTTCCTGTGTTTGATAACCTCCTGTATCTTTCGTGACTTTATTTTGCGTAATATTACATTGATTCATAATAATTAACCCTTTTCTCATGTGCGTCGTGACTCTGCTTTCTTGAATTGAATTACCACAATCAAAAACTGATGTTTCATTGGCTTGATTTTTATAATTTGCAATATCTGAAACAAATGTGAAAAATGATGTTCCTTCTTTTGAATTTGATTTTATGTATGAATTTTTTGTTTGAACAATTTGACCTTTATTGGAAGAATAGAGAGAACCTCCTTTTTGTTCACCAGATGAACATGATTCAAATTTATTTGAAGTAACAAATGTTTTAACATCATCATTTATTGGTGTAATTCTTACGGCACCATTTGGATCTAAATGAATAAAATTACAGCTTGAAATAAAAAAGTTGAGGTCGTCAGTTGAAATTGGACTTGAACTTCCACTATACATCATAGCATAGTATGATCCTGGAAATACATCCTCCCAAGACATTGCAATCGATGTCAAAATGATAATTTGATGCACAAATCCAATTCTTTTTTAATGTGATTGTTTTTTACAGAATCATACAAAAGTGACATTGAAACGAACAATAATATGCTGTAATTGTTGGAATCATTTCAATATGAATAGAAGATTCATATATATCATTATTTTAGGGTTCTGACCGACCAATGATTTATCCTTTTTGAGAGGAACGATACTGACTCTATTGAAATAAATTTGAAAGAATTCTATTCAATTTTATAAAGTTCACTTTGTATTTTCAAACTTTAAGGTTTATTATTATGGATATAGGCTCATATTATTATTAGTAAGCCTCAGTATGATGTTTATAAAAAAACAATAGATAAAAATGTAGTGATTAATCACGATTTGAAGTTCGCATTGATCTTAAATTATGAGAAACAGATTGTAGGAAGCTCTTTATGATTGAAAGACTTTAAAATATCAAAAAATTGAAATAAATCTTCAATATTTTCTTGACTTTACCTTCTATTTGTTGCGACAAACCTATGTTTTAAATGATTTAAGTCTAGAAATTTACTTTTATTAGAGAATTTGTAGAAAACAAAAAAATCTAAAAGTTAAACCAAAGATTTTTGAATATCTAACCTTTTGAAGAATAATATATTATGGTGTCAATTTATTATAAAAAAAAAATTAAATAAATTTAAAATTAAAAAAAAATGATATATAGACGTTTTTAAACTTATCAATCCGTCTTAAACCATACGAACCTCATATTTACCAGCCTGTGTCAAGTAGCGGATCCACTTATCTGGAGTGTAATTGCTCTTTTCGACTACTTTGAGGTACTGGAGGGCCAAGCCTGAAGCTGAAAGCATTGGGATGTTGAACTCGCAAGAGATTGGGTCCTTAATCTTGAGGGATGGGGACTCATTTGTAGTAGAAGCGAGGCAAGTAACGTAGATTGTAATATCAGCCTGTGTCTTACCAGCGAAACCGTTGATCTTCCAGATAACAGCGTTCTGTTCACCTACGAAGACACCCTTGCCCTGGGATTGTTCGATCTGAGTTTCTGATGCGTTTTCTGGCATTGGGATCTTAACAATGAGTGGTGTAGCTGAGAGCTTCATATCATAGTTGGATGTAACTGAAACACGGATTTCAATCTTATTCTTTGAGATATCCTTGACAAGTGGGTCAATCTTGAATGGAAGTGAAACATTTTCTGTCTTACGGTATCTCATAAGCTCGAACTCGCCATCTGGAGGGATGAAAGCGATAGCACGGTCATTGGCGAAAGATGTGAGTTTGACGCACTGATGGAAGACCATATCATCGACTTCGATTGATGCGCCTGCTCTGGAAACAGCTCCACCGCCACCGCTGTACTGGCCTGCCTGGCCGGAGATCTTATCGTTGAAGCCAATCTTGCATTCGGGCATACCTGAGAGATAAGCCTTCATATTGATAGCGCCGTTGACGGAGGCATCGAGGATCTTGCCACCAGCAGAGGCAAGCATGGAGACCTTCTCAACAACATCAACGTAGATTTCGTTTGTACGATACTTAACGTTGGTACGCCATGAGACGGCACCTGTAGCGGAGATTGTGATCTGGTTTTCTTGACCTGATTCTGACTTGTTTGAGGAAGGACGCTGTGTTAAGCCGCGGATAGCTTCTGGATCTGTGTTCTGTGGGTAACCTGTATCGCAAATTTCATCAAGGAGTTCAAGAACATCTGGTGTATGTGTCTTGAGCTCGTTGACTGTGCATTCAACACCGATTACGGATTTGATGAGTTTTGGAATGCGTGAAAGGAATTCGAAAATTAAACCAACGTTGACATTTTGTCTTGTTGCTGCTACATAGTAAATTTCATTCTCCAAATAGTGAAGAAAGGACGTGCCGTCGACAAGATCGACTGGGGAGGTGACTTCCTTAGCAGCGATGATGCCAATCCTATAGTTCTCGAGAGCTGTGTCATCAAAATCGCGGCGGTAGCGACGGATACACAAGACTTCTCCATTACGATCGAGGATGACTACACCACTGATCATTTAGCAAATGTTGGGTGATTAACTCAAATTGAGCGGTTTTGTAAAGTTACTTCCGATGAGAGTTTTATTGCACTTATTGACTTTTTTTCGTCTATTGTTAATCACCGGTTTGGCAACACTGAGGAATCGATCAATATGAGATTGCGATTTCTGGGATTGTAAATTTATTTTAACGATAAATAAGAACAGAAAAGTGGAGATCCCTTTTTTTATGAAATTTTGATTGAAGAAATTTTATGCAGGCAAAAAGATGTGACGATGGACTATATGTGAAATGAAATGCAATCTTTTCATAAAAAAAACGATACATTTGTTGATCCTATCGTGATATTATTTGTCATGCTTATTGGACATAAATTCATTGGCCGATGTATTTCCAATACCGTGAAACTGCATGTTTCATGCTTATTCTATTCACAAAGAGAATGATTCAACCAAAATTATCGTAGCAAATCTTTCATTTTCAAAAATACGCTCGAAATAATCCCATCCGCAAGTAGTAAGTACTACTGTTTGAGACACACGTAATCAATGTTAATTACTTGTTGCTAACATTTTGTTTTATAAATCACTACATGTTTCGTTTTATGATACTAATATATAAATAAATCCCTCAGCTATTGAATATTGTTTAAAATGTTTACGAACGCTCACAATGAGTTTCTTGAATAAGGAAATTTATATCATAGGTTTTTTATTAATACCAATGCACATAAGATATGTCTTCATCTAATATGCTCTTTTTATAACTTTCTTTTGTGTAATTCCTGATAAATTTCAATTTCATTATAGGAAAAATCGTTAGATTTTCATAAGAAATGTTTCTTTTAACTTGAGTTAATATAATGATATGAAAAAATTGGAATATATTATCAATCGGATTTGGACAAATCAAATTTTTTTGCAAGACAAGAATTTTTAAACTTTTATATGACAAATCTATTTTATAGGATTTTTCTAATTTATTGATCTGATAATTAGGCTATAAATCATAATTTTTATTTCAATCAAAATTAATCCGATGAATTATGATGGAAAATTTTTGCGGCATGTATTATCTTCATCTAAATAATCTATTTTTAATATTAAAACGGAAATTTTTTCCAAGAAAATGAATTGAATGGGTTATGTTTGGTCTAAAATTTTTTGCTAAATTAAATGCCACCAAAGGTCGCACAAATTCCAATCAAGAAAGATGAAGATAGCACATACCGTTACAAGATGCCACGTTTAACCCCACGTAAGCTTTCTAGCGGTAATGGTGTTAAGACTTCAATTATCAACAGTGCAGATATCGCAAAAGCCATTGGCCGTACACAGGCTCTTCTTACACAGTGGTTTGGTTATGCTCTTGCTTGCCAAGCTCGTATCAACCCATCATCCAGTCAAATCATCATGAATGGTGACCACCCAGCTAAAAAACTCCAAGATTCGCTTTATGAATTCATTGATAATTTCATTCTTTGCCCACACTGCTTAAACCCAGAAACTACAATGGAAAAGAAAGGTTCCCAATTAATTCTTGTTTGCCACGCTTGCGGTCACTCCGATCCAGCTTGTGTTGGCAGCCATGCTACATACATTCAGAAGACCCTTGACTGGATTCTCTCTCACATTCAGAGCGAGCAGACAAAGGGCCAAAATGTTACACAGCGCGCACATGGTCGTCTTGATGAGATCGATGAATACGAAAAGCAGAAGGCTAACGAGCAGAACGAAGCTACAACCGGCGTCGAAATCAACGTTGAAGAATTCAAGAAGATCGAAGCCGAGCTCGATGCTCAAAACCAGAAGGCCGTTGAGCGCCCAACAGAAGCAGAAGAAAATGCCTACTTCGAGAAGTTCGGAAAGCAACTCGTTGGAGAAGAAACAGATGCTGAGATATTTGAAGAATTCAACAGCATGGCAGAACGTGGTGGTTGGAACAGCCCAACACGCTGCGCTATTATTTTTGAATACCTTTTCCGTGGCGAGCCAACCGAAATTCTTAATTCAATAGAAGACCGCCGCGGCTTCATTATCCGTGTCCTTAACGAGGATGGTATCCAAAAGGACTTCCAGACAGCTATGGCCAGCTTCATCGAAAAGAAGGTTCCAGAACTTTTCACATCAGCTCCAGTTATTTGGCACTGCATGTACAATAACGAAATCATCGAAGATTCTGCTTTCCTTGCTTGGTACACTGCACGCCCATCAAAGCGTTTCGAAGACCCAGAAAAGGCCAAGAAACTTCGTGAAATGCTCGCTCCATTCAAGACATGGATTGAAACTGCTGAAATCGAGCCAGAGCCAGAAGAGGACGTCAAAGAGGAAGAAGAGAAGCCAGAAGAGAAGGCTGAAGACAAGAAGGACGATATCAACATTGACGACATCTAAAATTATAATAAAGGTAATGATTTTTTAATATCTAACTATTTGATTTTTATTTAATATCCTTGTTTTATCAGATTTTTAATAATTTTATTATGTTACAATAGAGTTGTGGCCATTACTCATATCCCATGCTATGGATGTCGCCCTTTGCAAATCTATTTTTAAATGAAGGATGAATTACAGACACAAAAATCAATTAATTTTTGATATTTTTAATTTTTTTTTCTATTTTTTATCAGTTTTTGATGGAGAAAGATTTTTTTACAATATCTTTCAATAATCAAGCAAATTTAATACGACAGAAACGAATTATTTTATCTCAAACTTTGTATACTCTCTTCAATTTTAGATTTGCTCATATTAGTTGTTAATTATGATATTTTCAAGTAAGAAAAATAAAATCTTCAGGCATATTCGATATGCTTTTGTCAAAAAAACTTAAAATCCAAGAATTTATTTATCAAAATTGAATGCAATTATTTCAATAACAATATAATTACACTTGCAAATCATATTACAAAAGTGTTATGTCAGGTTAAATCGTATTTAAATGTGAAAGGCTTGGATTCACGATCTTGGCTAGTTGACCCCGTTATCGATAATGATTTTTCATTTATGCTTCTGAAATATTGCCAATTAAGCTTAGAATATAGCACCTTTATTTTTGTGCTATAACATATACTACAGCAATTATGACCTACAGCTTAATATTGGTTACTTCAGCCATGATAATCAGTGGCTGTAAATGTTATGAAGTAAAATGAAACACCAGCACAGGAGATTTCTTTCTGGTTTCCAAAGTTCATCAACAAGCATTATGAAAAATCAATATCAATTTTTTTTTCACTGCTATATTTGAGAATCAAACGGAAAGAGAAATAATGATTCATTTATGAGAATAAAAAATACACTCGAAACCAAGTATTTGAAATGAAACGATACAATTTCGTTTATTTCAAAACGATCATTTGATTTCATTGGTTTTGCAAAGAAGTATGCTGCTTAAAAGTATTTTTCAATTACAAATATTTTTTTATTTGGACAACATCGCATTTAGATGAGTCAAGGTTCTATTCAGAATTATGAATACATTGCTACCCACATCAGTGATTACATTAAGGAAGGTAATTTCTTTGATGCTTTTAAAATCGAAGACATCAAAAAGATCATGAAAATTTCAAATATAACGGCTACCGACTTCATTGCTCTTCTTAAGCAGTCCCATCCTACTATCAAAGCAAATGAATTATATGCATGTGCTTGAAATTCTAATGTTTCTATTCAAAGCTTCGAAGATGTCATCTCAACACTCAAATCAATCAAAAAATACATGAAACTCGGGATACTTGACGGGATTATTAACTTTTTAGATCAAATATCAAAAGAAACGTTTGAATCTACAGAGAAAATCCAAAAACAGCAAACAGAGCAAAACGACATTCAAAAACCAAAAAGTGACAGTGAAAATAAAACACTTCAATCTCAACTCAATCAAGTTAATGAAGAAAGCATTCCGAAAGAAATTCTAACAAAAATTTCAGAACTCAATGAATCTGATAATTTTGAAATTATATACAAATTCCTTGATGATCTTTCATCACAAGGAAATAAAAAGGCTATTTCAAAAGCATGTGAAGAAGGACTTTGGACAAAGTTAGTTAAAGGGTCATACTATGAAGATATAAAGAATGTACTTCATGTTGCAAGTGAAAAAGGAAATCTGAGACTTGTAAAATCTCTCATTGAATGTGGCTGTGATAAAGAAACAAGGAGTAATCATAATTACACTCCACTCATTTTTGCATCAGCTAATGGTCATCTTGAAGTTGTTAAATATCTTATCTCTATTGGAGCTGATAAAGAAGCAAAGAATAATTCTGGATATACTCCACTCATTTGTGCATCATCATTTGGTCGTCTTGAAGTTGTTAAATATCTTATCTCTATTGGAGCCAATAAAGAAGTAAAGGATAATAATGGAGACAATCTACTCATTTGTGCATCATCATTTGGTCGTCTTGAAGTTGTTAAATATCTTATCTCTGTTGGAGCCAATAAAGAAGTAAAGGATAATAATGGAGAAACTCCACTCATTTGTGCATCAGGAAATGGTCAACTTGAAGTTGTTAAATATCTTATCTCTATTGGAGCTAATAAAAAGGCAAAGAATAATCGGAGAAAAAATGCATTCGATGTTGCATTCTTCACGGTCAAAGATTTTCTAAAACATGCTAAATAAATTATTTCAGATTTCTCTTCAACCAATATTTGCTTCGTCCAATATCGATTTTAAAGAAAAACATTATTATAAACTATAACTTATTGAAATTTTTATGAAGATGAAACATTTCTATATGCAAAAATATTATAATTAAAAATATTTATCACCATTTGACAAAGCGAATGTTATTCGTAAGTATTTCAACAGATAATAAAGCATAACCATGCATAGTTTACTTTCATTTAAAAAGGAAATTATATGAAATCTATTATCAAAATCTGTGAATATTTTCGAAAACATTCATATTAAATATTTGAAAGAGAACGAGTTGAGATAAACCGAATGTAAATTTCATTCAGATTTTGAAAACCGTTCTACCGCTGTTAGATGTATCATCTATCCTCATATTTTGTTTAAAGTGCGTTTCGATGTAAAAGGACAGTTGGTCTTTCTGTAAATAAATTTCTGAATTTGAAAATCATGGAGATTATGAAAATTGATGCTGTTTTCGAGAGAGTGAATTCTCATATCTTCTATTTATTGAACACACGATGTATGTAAAAATTTCCGAAAAAATGAATAACGTATTCAATTTTTTTCTCAAAATTTACAAAATTTTCCATATCGGCAATTCTCTATCGTTTTTTCTTCTATCGTCCTCAGTTTTTGGTTTAGCGTGGTATTTATCAATGTCTAAATACTGTGCAACCGAAGGCCACATTCTATATAAAACCCTCATTAGAGATGCAATGAGGCAAGCTGGTTTCTCTTTGAAAAAGGAGGATCCGACCGCAGTTCTTGTTTGGTGGGATGATTTGAGAAAAAAGGATTTCTACGGCCAATTAAAGCCATGGCAAATCGTTAACAGATTCCCTATGATTAACGTTATATGCCGAAAAGCTCCTTTCGTTCGCTTATGTCAGCGTACAGCTCAAACTTTCCCATCACAATTCAAATTCTTACCGAAAAGCTTCCTCGTTCCAATACAGCAAGAGCAGTTCAATGCTGAAGTTCATAAAAACGAAAAAAGATTCATTGTTAAACCAGATCGAGGCTCTCTCGGCGAAGGAATCACTTTTGTTGAAATTGGTGATGAGCCACCCGCAATTGAGAGATTGTGCGTTGCTCAGGAATACATTCCTTCTTTATTAATTGATGGCTACAAATTTGACTTCAGAATCTATGCTCTTGTAGCTTCAGTTAATCCACTCCGTGTCTACGTTTACAGGAACGGCGTTGCGCGCTTCTGTTCTAAGAAAGCAACAGAGAATTCCGTATTTTCAGAATTGACCAACAAATCACTTAACAAGAAGAACCCAGATGTTATCATGACACAGATTGTTAAGATGATTGCCGATATCATGACATCACTTGAACAGCAAGGCCACAATACACAGCATCTTTGGCAGAAAATCGATCGTGCAATTGTTTCCGCTGTCATCACTGCATCCAAATTCCTTCAGCAAGGCATGAATAAGCAATGCCCGAAGATTGGATACCAACGATGCTTCCAAATCCTCGGAATTGACGTTCTCATCGACAACGACTTCAATCCATACATTCTCGAGTGCAACTACCGTCCATCCCTCGAAACAAATACTCCTTACGAGCGGAAGATGAAGATGGCCATGCTATCTGACGCTATGCAGATCATGGCTCCATCGCAAGAGCTCCAGGAATACGTCACTAAGAACTACTCCGAACATCTTGCAGAAGATTGGCCAGAACTCATGAAAACTGACCCAGAATTAATCGACGCGATCAATAAAACAGTCAACAAGCCACCACATAGCTTAGGAGGCTTCAACCTCGCATATCCATGTGATAACGAAGCTCAAATGAAGAAATGGGATCGAATGATTACATTTGTCGGAAAAATGCCTACAGAACTTAAGACTCGCTACTTCCTTCCACCAGCATTGAAGAAACCAGCAGCTAGAACAACCACAGTTCCAGCACCAGCCGCTCCAATCGTTGAAGCTACACATGATGACCGAATTGACGGACTTTCCAGCGGATCTGACCTCAAAGATGATCCAAATGAAGGTGCAGAAGTCGACAATGGCTTCGTCCCAGTCATTGACGATGAAGGTGGCGAAGATGTTGCTCCAGAACTCTCTGCTCTTTTCATCAACCAAATCATCCAGGAGAAAGGACACATTCCAAGGAAAGCGAGAAGAGCAGCGGAACAGGGACTTCCACTGACAACTTCGGACATCGTCGGCGGCCCAGTTGAAGGAATCAGGAGAGTCGGAAGACCAGTTGTAAGAAGAAGCACACATGATGACGACGATGATATGTAATTAAATATATTTTAAATTTTGTTCATATATAATAATTTGTCGATGATAAATGTATCCTATTTCTATATTTTCATAAAATCAGATTGGAAATCATTTCCTTCGCGTCTGTCCCTCAAAATTTGAGCGAATTGAAAGGTTTACACACGATGAATATGATTTCAGATATTATAAAGAAATTTTACTCATGATTGTTACAGGAAAAAAGATGATATTGGATTTTGAAGAAATATATTACTAAAGATATGGATCATATAAAGTAATTTTACTCATGATTGTAACAAGAAAAAAGATGATGTTGGAATGGCAAGAAATTTCTTATCCCTGTGGGAGTTAATATTGAACACCCCATAATAAGGTCATCCAAAAACAGTAATTAAAAACTACAGTTTGAAAATATTCTGAAACTCTGTTTGTTGAGAAGGTATGAATTTGTTCATTGCGGATTTTTTTTTGGTCAGAAAGTGCTTATTTTTGTTCCAGATTTGGAAATGTGGAGAGATTACTTGATAATATCAATCATAGCGTAAAATTTAAAATGTATGATGTCCCTGAAAGAGATAGTAGATACATCATACTTTCAAATTTCGGAAAAATTCGATAAGATATAAATCATAAAAATTTTATATTTTATAATAATTAAGGTTTTGTAAACTATTGAAAATCATATTTGTTTGGAGAGGATAAAGAAGAAAATCTCTTTAGTAGAGGAAGAACATCATGCTTTCGTTTCTCAGGACCTTCAAACGATATATGGAATAGATTCTATGATGATGCAAATATTGACACATTTATTAATACAAGTCGAATTGACGCCGAATTCAACAACGTCTTTGTTGATTACGCTCTTTTCAAAAATTTTAGTCCAGAAGGTGTTATTCGAATTTCTAAACCAACTGCAGATACAAAAGTTCTTGTTTCAACATCTTCTTTTATTAATTGTTCTTCTAATAAAAACGGGGGATCAATATATATGGCAATATCAGAATTTGGGGATGGAGCTGGATCATTTGTTCAATACAACGTCTGTAGTTATGAATCTAAGACCACAAAATACATAACAGGATCTCATTCATTTATTATAGTGACAAATGATGATAATCACAAGAATTTTGTTATTGAATCATCATTCACTCAAAGTACAGGAGAGTCAGCTGTTTTGTATAATAGATATGGATCTCTTCTATTTTCATCAATAAATATCTCTGATTCAAATCTAGAAATGAATGCAGCATTTGTTAGTAAGGAACCATCTTCTCTTTCAACAACAAATTTTAGTAATTTCTATAATATTTCATCAAATGAACGATGTTGTTTTTTTTCATCATTCTAATGATCAAAATTTCTATTTTTGTAATGTTATTGATAACAATGTTTCTGGAGATGATGCCGGAATTTTCTATCTCTATGAAGTCACATTTTCAGTAAATCAATGTTTCTACAAAGGAAACAATGCTTCTAATTTTTTATTAATTTATAATGAATATTTCTCAGCTACTGTAGATGAATGCCATTTTGAAGAAAACACATTTCCAACAGATAAAAATTATATTACGAATTCAAGTTCAATGACAGAATTAAATCTTTCTAATTTATATTCTCTTTATTTATGCGCACTTCCAATTAGAAATAAAAAAGATTCTATTCGCATTCCAAATATTTCTTTTTCTAACTTATTTTCAAATCAACCTTCAATTTATACTAAACATAGAAAATAGTTTTTTTATGAATACATCACTAAGTTCTAAATAGCATTCAGGACAATTTAATTCTTCATCATTTGTTGTGCAATTTTGGGAAGTAAAATATTAAAAATTTTCGTGAAAATTTCTCTATTCCGTCTTTTTGACAGGGAGCGGCGCGACCCCAAATTGTCAGAAAAGTGTATTCTATTTCATATGATTATTTTTGCTTATAATGACAAACATTATTTGAACCAAAAATAATTGGATGCAATAGCAATATTCAAAGAGCCAATGAAAACATTGACTTATGGATCCGAAAAGTTCGATTTTTTTGAGCAAAAAAGAAGAGTTCAAAAATGTAAACTATTCAGTGTCACCCCCTTAAATTTAAACTGTTCCCTAAAATAACAAAAATGAAATCTCAACTTTATAAACTTAAGGTCATAACGAAAGATTCTGATGCAGACAAAGTGGCAAAAGATGTCAGAGAGATATCAAATTATCTGCAGGAAGACTCATCTCTGTTACAACTTTATATTGAAATTTGTTTATCAAGTATTCTTCCATTTTTTGGCAAAACATTCCCAGTAGATACAAAATTGCAATCCATTGACTATTGGCTGCTACAGCCAAAGTTAGAAGTCATTTCAACAATAATTTCTTGTTTGAAAAATCCAAATTCACAATTAACTGCAGTTTACTATCTTTCTAAATGGACTAACAGTAAAATATTCTCGAATTTAATAGACACAATACTCTCAACAGGCAAAAATGAGAACTATTCCGAATTATTATCAATAATTTTTTCAATTCCCGACCAAGTAGCCGCAATATATTACGATATTTTGCAAAATGAGAAACAACTTCAAGCCAAAAAAGATAATCAATCAGAAGAAACACAAAATAAAGAAGAAAATAAAGAAACAAAAGAAACTAAGAAACGTGTACAAATAATTACAGACGAACAGCGAAAAATGTTTACAGAAACTCTCGAAAAATCCAACTTTTTCACTAAATTAGCCAAATCATTAACAAATCTCGATCCAATCTTGATTTCTAAGTTTTCAATCCTTAATTTAACGCAATACTTATGGAATACAAAGTTCACTGAAGTACAATTTGCTGAATCTGCCCTTAATTTGCAGCCATCTGCAGTTTCTCCCTTTATTTCCTCATTAATTGAGGACAAACCGAAAGAATTTGCCACAGCAGTTCTTTCTGTCCTCTATCCAAACGTCGATCGCGTTAAAAAACTCATCAGAAACCACTTTTTAACTCAAAAAGTTTTATCTCAGCACGCACAAGACACTTTGATCGCATTTTTAATTGGCCAAGGTGAAGTGATCTCTACTATTGAACTTTGTGGCGAGATATGGAGTCGCCATGTGCTAATTACTCAAATGTCGACAGGATTACACTCCCAGCTCTCCCATATCATATTAGCGATGCTTGATAAAGTCACTAAAGAGGAAATACAGAACTGCAAAGCCACTTCTTTGATTATGAGTGGAGTTACAGCTCATATCGGAATATCTTCACCAGAAATCCGAAAAGAAGGACTTATGATTGGCGAAAAAATCACACATATCTTATTACCAGACCAACCAGTCAAATTCGACGAACTTCACCCAGAAGATGATCAAAAAGAGAAAGAAGAGAAAGAAAAGACAGAAAAACTACTGTCAAAACCTCCAGAGTCCGACCAACCATCGTCAGATGATGAAGATAAAGAGTTAGACATCGATGGAGAGTGGAAAGAAGGAATTGACTTCGCGGCAAAGGGTAATAGTGACGACGATTCAGATGAAGACCCATTAGTTCCGTATAAAATCGATGATGATGTCGGTAGCGATAATTTACCAGTATTACATCCAAGAGAGCTCATTAAGCTCTTCAGAACAGACGAGAATGATAGCGAGAGATACAGAAAGTACAATTCTGCTATCGTAGCTGCAGCAGATGTTTGTAAGAGAATTACTGCCTTAGAATTACAACAAATGGGCGGCGAGTTACTTCAAACATTGATCAACGCTGACAATGAATACAATAACGATGACTTTGAAGACTTGAGAAGGAACGCATTGGTTGCTTTGATGTCAAGTTTCCCTTTAGAAGTATCTAAGCTCGTAATCGCTGAGCTTAGGAAGACCAGGGATTATTCACTTGGCAGAAGGCTTGTAGTAATGACGAGTATTGCTTATGCAGCGAGTGAATTAACTGAATTGCCAAAACCAGAGCGAGAAGACATAATCGAAGGCCATATCCAAAGGTGGGGTGACCCCAAGAACGCAAGGAGATGGGGCTCAACACTCCACAAAGTGAAGATGGTCAAAGCCGTCAATCGTTTCTCCCCATGCGCAACAGTTTATTTCTATGGTTTACTCAGCGGCTGCGATTTACAGAAGATATTGAGAGAAGAGGATGGTCTGGAAGCAACACAGCTACTTACGACACTCGCAGTGATCATAGAAGCTGCAGGAGAGTCAGTCATGGAGTTGGACAGAATGGCCACTGATTTGATGGATGTTTGCTTGGTTTTGACACCAATTAGACCTCCAAACGCAAGGAAGGCACTCATGTTTGCAATTGCATGCGCTGTTAGAGTGTTGAATGACTACAGAGGTAATGATATAATGGGAGAGTTCCTTGTCAACGCTGCTGAAAATGATCCTGATGAAAATGTAAGAGATTTGGCAATCGGTGTCTGCTCAATATTGGCTCAGAGACACGATGATTATCTGAATAACTTGTTCAAGAATGTATAGAATATATTTATATAAAGATAATAGATTTTCATTTAAATTGCTTTTTTCCTCTATTTTATTAGTCTGGAAAGCTATTTTAATATAGTGTTGTTATGTGTTTGCAAAAAAATCAAATTCTAAATCAATACATATGATTGCTATCTTTCTTGATTAGAGTTGGACATCCAACACGTCATATCATATTTTAGTAGTAGGATATGATGGGTTTTGTGACTTTTTTTGTAAACGTAAGAATTCATACAATATTGAACGATTTTGTATCATTTTTTTTAACATATGAAGTAAAAAATGTATGAATTCTTACGGTTTTTATTCTTACGTTTTTGAATAAATCAAGATTTAAAAAATTTTCAAAATTGTAAGACATTTACACTCAGCCCATGCATAATGAAATAAAAAATAAATTTTTTAAAAAAATAAACACATTAAAAAATTAACATTAATTTTAAAATAATTTATTTTTCCATCTTTTATAAAAGAAGCTATATATATAGATGATGTCAGATATTCCGCGATTAATTAAACATTGTTTAAATCCTGAATGGAATCAATGGAGTCATAATCAAAGACCTCATAAACGAGTAAAAGAAATAATTATTTTCATGAATAAAAGATTCACTACCATAATGAAATAAAAAAATAAAAAAATAAACTTTAAAAATTCATGTCTTACATTTCTGAATAATTTATTTTTATTTTGTATGAAATGAGCGTCAAGACTAACGATGTTAAAAAATTGGGATTCACAAACGAGGAAATAAAGGATATATTAGATGAGGCGGGTTATGAAGTTAGTAAATATTATTTAAGAAATTGTCAAAAATTTGCCGAGTTATTAAATGATTTAGATTATGATGGAAAAATGAATAAAGATGATGTTATAAATTTCATATATCCCACATCTGAAGAAGAAAAACCAAAAGAACCTGATGTTTTCCCTGAATATTATGAAGAACGAATTAAAGATGATGAATATGATGAAATTGAAAGACTGGAAAAAATAAGAGATGAAATAGATGAAAAAATTAAGGAATTAAGAGAAGTTGAAAAATATAATGAAAATGAAGTAGAGGGTTTAATGAATATCCCAGCTTCAGAATCAGCAGTTCAGAAATCTCATGAAGAAAGATATAAAAATTATGTCTCAGAATCAACACAAAATTTATTAGATGGTGAAATAGACGAAACACTTTCAGAAGAAGGTACTAAATTTATTCGTAAACATAAGTTACAATTTATTGATAATGAAGAATACCCCTGTATCCTACTTTCACCACCTTTAGATTCTGAGAAATTCAAAAAAGCTCTTAAAAACGTGACATATGCAACTAATACGATTAAGAAAGAAGATCATGATATTTACACAAATTATTATTTAAATAAATGCACAGGTGTTGATAAAGTTTTTGATTTATTAGATAAAATATCAAAAGAAACCATTGGAACCTATAAAATTTTATGTGATTGTGGTTTCATTATTGAAGATACTAATAATGTTTCATATGAAAGAACAGCACCGAAGGAAGATGAAGTTGAAAGGTCTATACCATTCGTTATTAAGAACATAAAAGATATGAAAACTTATAAACATTATATTTATTCATTTATTTCAGAAAAAATGGAAGCAACCCATAAAACATCTTCTCATCATTTTATAGCTATTCATACATTCCTTTTCAAAGTTGTGAAATTAAATAAGACAGGAATTAGATTTAATGTATCAGGGTACGCATTCTTGAGTAAATTAAAATGTATTCGTCACGTCGCAGATGATAAAAATTTATGTGTTCTTAATTCATTTTATGGGCTTTAAAAAATAAACTTTATTTTTATTTATTTTTTAATTTTTTATTCTTACATAAATGAACAAAAACGGAACAGCTAAAATGAATGATAATCAAATAAGAGCCGAAGGTAGAAGGTTATTTAAACGCTTCTATAACATTCCTGATGGTGTTAATCCTAAAACTCGTAGAAGTTATTTAAATGAAGCAATAGATGCATATGAAGGATTTGACATTTCATCAGAAAGTGAGAGGTTAGCAAGAATGTTAAATGTTAATATTGATTTTTATTATTGTGACCCTCAACCAGAAGACGTAAACATTAACAAGGTAGACTTTCCATTAGTGGAATCAATAATGATAGATCCAGAATTTGAAACAGTAAATATTTTATTAACACAGAGTCCATGTGGAAAACTTCACGCTGACAGAATTACAGACGTTGAAGCACTCACAGGATATAAAGTTTGCCCCTTTTGCAAAGAAGAAGTATATTCTATCCGTGATGATCCAGAAAGGAAAAACCAAAGAAGATTTTTAAAACATTGTGAGAAATGTAAAGAAAATAATGGAAGATTAATTCAAGACGTTCAATTGCAAAACACACAACAACCATATACACCACATATCACGAAACAGAAGATATATCAATGGCTATTAGCTCACAATTTGCAGAAATATTATAAACCGACAAGATATTATATTACTTTTGACTTTGAAACATTAGAGACTAAAGAAGAACTTCAACTTTCTGAATGTGCAACTTTGAACGCTTACTTAAAACCATTTATGGTATCATCAACGGTTAAATTAAATGATAAAACATATACGAGGAATTTTTGCTTAACTTCGAGTGATTCTTTTATTTCTGATTGGATTGAGTTTTTATTTTCAACCTGTTCATTAGTTGCTAAATCAAATATGTGTCAATACAATGAATTATTGAAGTCGCAAACGGCGGGGACTTTGTCCCATACATTAAATGAAAAACAGAAGGAAGCATTTAAAGAACTTCTAGATGAGGAATTCAATAAAGTGAATATCATAGGTTTTAATTCGGGAAAGTTTGATTTAAATTTAATTCTTCGTGATTTAAACACTGCAAAATGGAAAATAAAATCAATGCTGGGTTCATCTTCACAATTTAAGCAAATCATTGTAAAGAAAACAAACGTTCCATATGAATTGAGATTTATTGACATCAGAAATTATATAGCGGGTGGGACATTAGATCAATTCACTCAAGATTTCGGAAACAATAAATCACGTGTTAAATCCTTTTTCCCTTATCAATTTATCACATGGGAGAATTACGAAGAAGAATTAGATAAAGAGGAACCATTCACGAAAGATTCATTTTATTCAGCATTAACCCAAGAAACTATATCAGATAGTGATTATCAAATATATCTCAATGATGCTAAAAACTTTAAGAATAGATTAGAATATTTTATTCATTATTGCAATAAAGATGTTGAAATTATGATTGACCCAATTGATAAAATTATCGAAGAAACATTTGTTTATAAAATTGACATGCTTCATAATCTTTCTTTATCATCGAATGCTTCAATGATTCGTTACGCTTTAGCATATAAAGACTTTAATCCTAATGAAAAATATCCTGAGGAAGAGATAGAATCAAGTTTTGAATTAACGAAAAAGTATTGGAAATATAAAATTGAATCATATAAGAAACAAGATGAAAAAGCAGAAAGAGATACTAAAAATAATGTTTCAATGGATGATTTTCAATACTATCACGATTTAATCCTTTCATCTAAATGTAAAATGTGTGGTAAAGCGTTTACATATGCAAATAAACCAACATTAGATAGAATCGATAATGAAAAACCACATACCAAAGAAAATTGTCAGTTAATGTGTTGTTATTGTAATGTCGTAAAATCAAATAAAGATGAAGACGTTCAACGTTTAAGAATCAATTTAAGAAATTATGCATTAAAAAATAATTTACCAATGACTTTAGATTCAGTTGAAGCTTATCACATTCTCCGTAATGGAATTACTGGTGGTTTATCAAATGTTCAACATCGTGTTAATCTTAAAGGAATCACGCACATTAATAAACTTTCATATAGTCCAGAAACTAAAACTGTATCAAATGAGGACACCACCAACATTATGTCTCATTTCGTTGGTGTTGACTTTAATTCATTATATCCTTCATCATTTTCATCTAATCCTCATGATTTCATTCAATATACTGACCATAAAATGTATATGCCGGGAAGATTGAATGGTGTTATCATTTGTGATACAGCAACAAAGAAAGCAAAAGCACTGGGAATAATTAAGAAGAAAAATACTTTATTCGTTGCTGAAGTAAAGGGTCACATTGATGAAAAATACATTAATGATTACATAAACTTTTTACCGATAATAAGAAACTTAGATATTATCACAGATGAAAAAACAATTGGCAGTTTTATGTATAATTACATGAAATCAAACAATTTACCAGTTGACCAGAAACAGAGGAAATTAACTCAGTTAGCATCAACACACAACCAATATCAACCATTTTCTTCTTATTATCTATGGTATCTAATAGACAGATTTCATTTTATCATCGATGATATTCAATCAATTTTAACATTTACTAAAAACACTTGTTTTAATGAATTTGCGAATGAATTTATGAACGAAAGACAAAAGGCTGAATTAGAAGGAAATAAAGGAAAAAGTTTATTTTGCAAGATTTCACTTAATGGATCATATGGTTACGATGCAATGAATACACAAAATTACGCAAAGACTAAAATAATGAATGCACAGAAGGCACGCGTTGCATGTATGTCAAATAAGTTTAAAAACATAAGAGAAATAGGAGAGGATACATATCAAGTGATGCTTAAAGATAGATTTTATAGATGTGATACATGTTTACAAGAGGCATTCTTCACTTTAGATAACGCAAAATACTGGTATTTGGTTTTCATTTATGATTTTATGTATAAATGCATGGATGTTAATCGTTTTCATTTCATTGAAGGTGATACTGATTCATCTTATTGGGCAATCGCTGGCGACCCAAATCTTCCTAACACTCAAGCATTTCAGGCGATTGTAACCGATAAACAATTTTATGATAAAAACATTTTCAAATTCGCACCATTTGATTTCTTCTGTTTTGATGAGAAATTTAAACCTAAATTAAAGAATAAAGCTGAAGAAAAAGCACATGAGAAAAAA